CAGCAGGAGCTGAGGGAAATAGAGGAAAGGGGGATACTGGAAGATTTAGAGGTGATATTCAAAACTCCTTGGTAGGAAAAGTCAGTCAACTATAAGGGAGGATGAGTCTCATAGTGAGCCTGGGGGCTGCAGTACCATTTTTTTTCTGTATCTTTGAGCTTTAGCTGTATCTGTCACCCAGGAGACTGTTCGTTATAAAAAACGGAGACTGACTGCTGTACGCCAAACAACAAACAAATGTCTTTGCAAGCGCTCGTGGTTGTACTTTTTCTGTTTCACACAGAAAGCAGAACCACTGAAAGGATTTCAGATTAGGTAATCTTACTGCCTTAACCTCTGTTGGGTGTTGATTTGTATTCATCCACGTGATGAACACCACCTCTAAGGCTAAAGGTCTCCCATGAGGCACCCTGTCTGAAGAAATGAGGATAGATAGTACAGGCTTAGTGATGTGCAGCTTAAGCCACTTATGATAACTCATTTGTGTTGAGATAGAAGTTCATAATATCAAGCAATACATTTTTGGTTCAACGTATCAATGGTGGCCTGCAGGAAAGCATTCTCCTCTGTTGACAGTTAGAGTTGATGGTGTCGGGGAAGGGAACAATCTCTTTTTCTGTTTTGTTCCCTTCGTTTAATGTGTGGCATTTTTAAGCACATTAACAGAATGTCTTGACCAAGGCAAACAACTCAAACAATGTTTGGCCACTGGTAGATGCAAGATGGTAAAGATAAATAAGGCTGTAAAAGCAGCTAGGTACTATGTAGGTTTAATTTAAAGAGAAATGGACTGAGGTGTGGTAGCAGTGAGATGCTCTCTCTCCTAATTTCCCTTCCCTGTTTAGTTCTAGGACCTCAGTCTAAGCCACTGTATCAACGGTGTTGTGGAAGGATAGTCCAATATGTGTTCTGGTTCTTCAAAACACTTAAGTATCTGTTGAGAATGTAGGCCTGCATCTGTTTTCCAACAGATGTTTTCCAATCTATCAAACAGGAGCAATAGCGACTCTCCTCTTGCCAACATAGGTGAGGTGCCTATATACATCAGCAACTGGGCTGCATTACATGTACAATGGGCCCAGTGATGTGATAATCTAAGAATCAAATCTGAGGCCTGTCCTGTTTACAGGTGTATCTTTCCAGAAGGTATGAGGTGAAGAACACAGTAAACCAAAGTAGCAATAGGATTTATAACCTGAAAAAAGAAGGGAATCCAGATCTTTGGTCTCTTCTCCCACCAATTCTCTGCAAAAATGGGGCAAAGCCCTAATCTTCTGTGCAGGGAAATCTGCTCATGGATGATATCACACGCTGCATACTTCAAGAGAGTATAGTGCTAGCAGGTTCTTCTAGGTATCCGTGCAAAATACTATGTGCTTAAAGAAACCGTGATGGACTGACACAGCCCTTACGGGACAGTGCTGCAATGCACTACTGCAAAACACAGCTCCGGTGCCCGGAGGGACTGTGGCGGAGTGCTGCAAGAGGGATAAATGTTCTTACCTCACCAGAAAGAGCTGGGGCATCCAGCAATACTCTCTGCGCCGGGAAGAGCTCTTCCCTTGCTTCCTTCATCTTTTGCCCCTCCCTGTAGGCCCCATGACAGAGTTGTATGTCAGATCAGGATGAACCCTGGTACTGGCTTTGAGTAGGGCAAGTTTGTGTTACTACATTTTTTAAGAAGCGCTGTTAAACTATACTAAATTCTGCCTTGCAGTGGGAGGTGCCACAATTATTGCTTTCCATCTAATGAGGCCTAATATTTTTCTTTGCTAAAGCTACGAGGAGATAAAATCCTCTCTGGAAAAATCATGTGACCACCCCCGATATTTGGTACACACCCTTTCTCCCAAGGGATGTTATTCTACTTTTCCGTTCCACATTAAAGCATAATGAATGTATACTTTTAGGGACCATTCAGATGCGGTAGCCTGGCTAGGAGCTATAGGTAACGCTGTTGCTCTGAACCTGCTCGTTGTAGGGGAGGCACTGTTTTCTCATGTACAAATAATCCCCTTCTCAGCCTTCCCGTGTATTTTTCAGCTGCTTCTATCTTTCCACAGAACAAAGCCCGTGACACTTTTGGTGTGTTATATGTGCCTGAGGTAATCCAAGTAAGGTTACTTTTTCCCCCCTTTCTTCAGCTCAAAATAAACCTTTATAAATAAGTATTAGGAGCTAATCTTGTATGTGACTAAAAAAAAAGATTTCTGGGAGTGTTCCCCTTTCCAATCTAAAATTCATTCATGCTAAGCACCTGCCTTTTGATACTCCTGCAATCACCTGTCCTGGTCTGCTTGTTATTTATTAAGACGGGAAAGAGCATGCTGTGGGATCTCAGATACTTCTATTTTAGACGGTTGTTATCTTTAGTTTGCCTACATGAAAATTCAAAATGGAAGCGTTTGGTCACAGGAAAGACCCTGAGGCTGTGGTGCATTTTGGGAAAAGACATGTCTTGGCCCTGACTCTACTGGACGCTTGTCCAGCTGGAGCCCTCTGAGCATTTGAATCCGAGGTGCAGGGAGGGTATCGGGGGGAGCTGTGAAAGCCTGCTCCCCCCCAGCCATTCTGCCCGCAAAGCACACAGGGCAGGTGACAACTCTTTCCTCTCCCTGAGCAGTTTAACAAGAAGCAAACTGTTTCCCTGCTCCTAGCTTCAATCGTATTTCAAGTATTCTATTTGTGAATCTGCCAGAAAGAAAAATTGTGTCTTTTTGAAATGTGTGTATAAGAAGGCTATCTATTTACAGTATCTAAGCAAAAAAGAAATAATT